CTCCCTCTCGCTGTCCCCCACCCTCTCCCACTACCTCGACACCTCCCCACCCTCTCCCTCCCCCACCCTCACCTGCCCTCTCCCTCCCTCTCACTCTCCCCCTCTCCATCACCAGCCCTCTTGACCTCCCACTCACCCGCCCTCTCCCCCATCCCTCCCTCTCCCTCACCCGCCCTCTCCCCCATCCCTCCCTCTCCCTCACCCGCCCTCTCCCCCGCCCTCACCTCTTCCTCCCCCTGCCTTCTCCCATTCACATGCCCTCTCCCTCTCCCACTCACATGCCCTCTCCCCCTCCTTCCCTCTCCCCCCCCTCAACTGCTCCTCACCCTCCCCCATCCTCTCCATCACCAGCCCTCTCCCTCCCTCTGCCCTCTCCATCACCCGCCCTCTCTCCACTTCCTCGCCCTTCTCCTTCTCACCCTCCCCACTCCCAAACCGCTTTCTATTCTAAACTTATCCTCGAGGCCAGACACAATCCCAAAATTCTTTTCTCCATGACCCACTCCCTCCTCCAAACCCCCTCTCAAACAACCCTGGATGTTTGGATGATCCACCTGCCCATGTCGCTTACCCACCACCCCCTCCCTCACTGCCCTCTCCTCCTACCACAGCCCACACCCTACTCTCATTTGTCCCCTGCTCTCTTGCCACCCTTTTCTCCATCATCACCAAAATCTGCTGCCTCAACCCCCTCCCCACCCAGCTTCCAGTCACTCAACTCCAGCTCCTCTGCCCACATCAACCAGTCCCTCTCCTCAGGCTCTATCCCTTCCATCCCCTCCAAACCGCTGTTACCACTCTTCTCAAAAAACCCACCCTCGACCCCTCCAACCTCAAAACCTTCAGACCTATCTCAAACTGCCTTTTCTGGCCAAAGTTTTGCAATGTGTGGTTGCCAATCAACTTGGATCACACCTTTCCCTCCACTGCCTCCTCTAGTCTGTTTTTCACCCTGCGGGATACCTCAAGGCTCCATCTTTGGCCTTTTCTTTTCATCATTTACAAGCACCCTCTGGGCAATGTCATCCACAGGCAGGGACCAGGCCGTCTTCTTCCACTCTGTCACATCTGTCAGTGGAGTCCTGTAGCTCAGTGGTTAGAGCACTCGCTTTGCAAGTGAGAGACCTGAGTTCAATTCCAGGCAGAGGGCGAAACCTCGGGCAAGTTTCCTTACTCCACACAGAGCCTAATAATAATCCCTCCAAAACCAAAAACAATAATAAATTGGTCATTTTCAATCCACGACTGTTTGTGGGACATTGCTGTGCGCAATTGGCTGCCGCGTTCGCCCACAAACATACAGTCAATTCACTTTACAGTGTGTTCTGTGAAGCGCTTTGGGACGTCCTCCTGACGTGAAAAGCGCTATATCAAATGCAAGGATTATTATTATTAATGCCCGCCTATGACTGTACCTTACCCCAAATGCTACCGAAACTCTTGTGCCTGCGTTGGTCACTTCCTAACAGGACCGTTCCAATGCCCTCCTCGCTGGTCTCCCCAGCTCCACCATATACAAAATACAATTCATTCAAAACTCAACCGCCCGAAAACTCACCCACACAGAACTCCAGATCCCCCTCACACCCCACCTCGCTAGGCCGTACCTGGGTCCAATTACAGAACAGATAGACATAAGATCCTCTCACTCGTTTTCAATTCCTTTCATGCCCTCACACCTCCCTTCCTACCTCTCCCACCTGCTTAACCCACCCGCTGCCTCCACTCGGCTGACTCTGGACTCCTGTTTGTCCCTCATATCCTCAGTTCCACCGTGGGTGGCCGCGCTTTCAGTCATTACACCCTGAAACTGGAACTCTCTCCCTCAACCCCTCCACCTTGTCCCATCCCTCCCCACCTTCAAATCCTGCCTAAGGACCTTTTTCTTTTTGATCATACTAATGGTCACCTCCCCCCTCCGTCTCCCCCTGGCTCGGGATCAGACTCCACCACTATTAAGTGCTCTGAGACATTACCCGTTGTCCAGCTAGAACCACCCAACCCTTTAGGGCTTTGGCTGTGGGGTTAACAGGAGCTGAGGGGGAGGATTCCCTGCCCCCAGTGACTGGTGGGTCCTTCCAGGCCCTGTGGTGAGCCGGACAGGGCCGGGCCGTGCTGTCATCAGCTGTGAGTGCCCTGGAATCCTGTGTCCCCTCCCGGCTCAGGAACCGGACTAGAGACCCTCACGAAGTGGGGGCCCGATTGCAACATTCCACTGCCAAACATGTCAACTTGGGGCAGGTTCAGCTCCGAAGAGACCCCCCACCAACAACCCCCAGAGACAGAGAAAAAGAGAGACAGAGAGTGGGATAGAGAGTGAGGGGGTGACTGGGAACAGCGCTGTGTTAAATAGAGAGTGTGAGACAGAGAGACACAGACATAAAGAAACAGAGAGGGACAGAGAGAGACAGAGTGAGGCTGTTGTGACAGTGTGATTCCTGGGGACTTGGTGCTGTAGCTCCTCTTGTCACCAGGAGACGGCAGCGCCACTCCACACATGGACAACCTGTCCGTGCGAACCCGACATTTACACAGATCTGACCATTCAGCCGCCACCCCCACACTGCACTGGAGCACCAGCCCCCACCCCCACACTGCACTGGAGCACCAGCCCCCACCCCCACACTGCACTGGAGCATCAGCCCCCAGACCCACACTGCACTGGAGCATCAGCCCCCACCCCCACAGAGGGAGGGGATGAGGTGGAGGGACAGTGGGATGGAGACCCAAAGGGTGAGGGCAGAGAGGCTGAAGGCCCAGCTGCCGATGGTGGGTAGGACAGGGGACATTGAGCGGGCCGGAGCCCGCTGAGCGGAGGGCGTGGACAGGTTTTAGGGGTTCAGGAGGTCACAGAGGTAGGGAGCAGGAAGGCCTTAGAAGGCTTTGAAGACGAGGATGAGGATTTTGAACTGTATCCTCTGGGGGATGGGGAGCCAGTGCCCCGGGTGGGGTGTGAGTGGGGAGGGTGGTGTGTCAGCCCTGTCAGTTCAATGTTGGGGGCCTCTAATTACCTCGTGTTCCTCTAAATGGAGATTTATTCTGTCCCGGATTACGGTCTCCAGTAGCTTTCCTATTACCGAGGCTAGGCTGACTGGCCTGTAATTTCCGGGCTGGTCTTGCCCGGGAATCAAACCCAGGTCCTCTTGTTTGCGAGGCAAGTGCTCTAACCACTGACCAGGACTACACGATACACCGAGACAGTAGAACAAGAAGGCACAGGTGTAAACGGCAATTTCAGGACAGTCACCAGGAAGTATTTCTACCAGAGAATAATTAACGACAGGAACAGGGCTACCAGGATGGGGGGGTGTAAACAACAGCCTGATGCTGTGATGGGGGAGGGGGAGATCACATCAGCTGAAGGACCTTCATCATCTAAAGGGAACTTGTGAGAAAGGAGGATTAATAATAAGTGAAGCGTCAGACCGACATGTCAACTGTTTAATGTCCCAAAAACAGTAGTGTCCACCCCCCACCTCACACACACACACACACTCACCCCCCGTACTGTCCCCCTCACCCCCCTCACACACACACACACTCACCCCCCGTACTGTCCCCCCTCACCCCCCTCACACACACACACACTCACCCCTCGTACTGTCCCCCTCACCCCCCTCACACACAAACACACACACTCACCCCTCGTACTGTCCCCCCTCACCCCCCTCACACACACAAACACACACACTCACCCCTCGTACTGTCCCCCCTCACCCACTCACACACACTCACCCCTCGTACTGTCCCCCCTCACCCCCCTCACACACACACATACTCACCCCTTGTACTGTCCCCCCTCACACCCCTCACACACACACACACACACTCACCCCTCGTACTGTCCCCCCTCACCCCCTCACACACACTCACCCTCGTACTGTCCCCTCTCACCCCCCTCACACACACACACACACTCACCCCTCGCACTGTCCCCCCTCACCCACACACTCGCCCCCCGTTCTGTCCCCCCTCACACACACACACTCACTCCTCGTACTGTCCCCCTCAACCCCCTCACACACACACACTCACCCCTCCTACTGTCCCCCCTCACCCACACACACACTCACCCCTCGTACTGTCCCCTCTCACCCCCCTCACACACATTCGCCCCTTCGTGCCAGACCCTCACCCCCCTCACACACACACACTTGCCCCATCATCCACCTCACACACACTCACCCCCTCGTGCCAGCCCCCCTCACCCCCCTCACACATACACACTCGCCCCCTTGTGCCAGCCCCCCTCACCCCCTCACCCACACACACTCGCCCCCTTGTGCCAGCCCCCTTCACCCCCTCACCTACACACACTCGCCCCCTTGTGCCAGCCCCCCTCACCCTCACCTACACACACTCGCCCCTTGTGCCAGCCCCCTCACCCCCTCACCCACACCCACTCGCCCCCTTGTGCCAGCCTCCTCGTAACCCTCGTGCCGTGTCCCTCAATGAACTAACAATAAAACTGATCACAATGTAAGAGTAAATTCACCTGTTCCTAAACCTCCAGCAAACAGGAAACCCCCCACCCCACCAATATTAATGTTCTTGAGGAGGCAGTGCCACCCTGAGCTGTGCCTGTGCCAGGCTGAGCTGTGCCAGGCTGAGCTGTGCCAGGCTGAGCTGTGCCTGTGCCAGGCTGAGCTGTGCCAGGCTGAGCTGTGCCAGGCTGAGCTGTGCCAGGCGGAGCTGTGCCAGGCTGAGCTGTGCCTGTGCCAGGCTGAGCTGTGCCTGTGCCAGGCTGAGCTGTGCCAGGCTGAGCTGTGCCTGTGCCAGGCTGAGCTGTGCCAGGCCAAGCTGTGCCAGGCCAAGCTGTGCCAGGCTGAGCTGTGCCAGGCTGAGCTGTGCCAGGCCGAGCTGTGCCAGGCCGAGCTATGCCCATGCCAAGCTGAGCTGTGCCAGGCCGAGCTGTGCCAGGCTGAGCTGTGCCAGGCTGAGCTGTGCCAGGCCGAGCTGTGCCAGGCTGAGCTGTGCCAGGCTGAGCTGTGCCAGGCCGAGCTGTGCCAGGCCGAGCTGTGCCAGGCCGAGCTGTGCGAGGCTCCCCCTCCTTGCCACTGTTACTTGATGTTCTTGAGCAGGACGGTGCGAGCGTTGACCACGGCTTTGAAAGCGTCCTCACTGCCCGGTGCCACACACTTGTCAGGGTGTAACAGCACAGCCAACCGCCGGTACGCTCTGTTCAACTCCTCCCTGAGACACACAGAGACAGAGTCACCCCCCACACACAGCTCACTGTACACACACACAGCTCACTGTACACACACACAGCTCACTGTACACACACACAGCTCACTGTACACACACACAGCTCACTGTACACACACACAGCTCACTGTACACACACACAGCTCACTGTACACACACACAGCTCACTGTACACACACACAGCTCACTGTACACAAACACAGCTCACTGTACACACACACGGCTCACTGTACACACACACAGCTCACTGTACACACACACAGCTCACTGTACACAAACACAGCTCACTGTACACACACACGGCTCACTGTATACAAACAGCTCACTGTAGACACACACACCGCTCGCTGTACACACACACACTGCTCACTGTATACACACACACACACTGCTCACTGTACACACACAGCTCACTGTACACACACAGCTCACTGTACACACACAGCTCACTGTACACACACAGCTCACTGTATACACACATACAGCCCACTATATACAAACACACACAGCTCACTGTACACACATAGCTCACTGTACACACACACAGCTCACTGTATATACGCAGCACTCACTGTATACACACAGAGCGCACTGTATACACACACAGCTCGTGGTATACACACACAACTCACTGTATACACACACACACAGTTCACTGTACACACAGCTCACTGTACACACACACAGCTCACTGTACACAACAACAACAACAAGATTCTATTTATAGAGCGCCTTGCACGTCCCAAGGCGCTGTACAATTGGGTCAGGACCCGAGCTTTGGGGGAAATGGTCAAGGTGAGGGGAGGGAAGGGAGGGAGCGACGAGGGGGGAAATGGTCAGGGGAGGGAAGGGAGGGAGCGAGGAGGGGGGAGATGATCAGAGTGAGGGGAGGGAAGCGAGGAAGCGAGGAGGGGGTAAATGGTCAGGGTGAGGGAAGGGAAGGAGCGAGGAGGGGGTAGAGAGTCGAGAGGGGAGCTGAAGGTACGGTCAAAGAGAAAGGTCTTGAGACCGGCCTTGAAGGAGGAAAGGGAGGAAGCGGCGAAGGCACTGGGGATAGAGTTCCAGAGCCTCGGGGCTGAGAGGCTGAAGGCCACCGATGGTAGGGCGGTTGGGGCGGGGAATGTGGAGCAGACCAGAGCCAGAGGAACGGAGGGTACGGGCAGGTAAGTAGGGGGACAGTAGGTCGGAGAGGTAGGAGGGAGCGAGGCCGTGAATGGCCTTGTAGGTGAGGATGAGGATCTTGAATTGGATCCTCTGGGGGATGGGGAGCAGTGGAGGCGAGCGAGGGTGAGGGTGAGGGTGGGAGTGAGGGCAAGGGCAAGGGTGAGGGCGAGGGTGGGAGTGATGTGGTGCGGGACAGTACACGAGCTGCAGAGTTCTGAATGACCTGCAGTGTGGAGGGAGGGCCGGGAAGGCCGACGGGGAGAGAGTTCCCATAGTCCAGCCTTGAGGTGATAAAGGTGTGGACCAGAGTTTCAGCCGCGTGAGGGGTGAGGTAGTGCCGTAGTCTGGCGATGTTCCGGAGGTGATGGAAGGCGGTGCCAGTTGTGGTGCGGATATGAGGGAGAAAGGACAGCTCAGGGTCGAACAGAACCCCGAGGTTCCTGATGGCTTTGAGAGGTGGAGAGTGCGGAGCTGATGGTGTCAGCGCCTGAGGTGCGGAGGCGCTGACGTGAGCCAATCAGGAGGGCCTCAGTTTTGCGCACGTTGAGCTGAAGAAAGTTGTCTCTCGTCCAGGACTCGATGTCGGACAGACAGCTGTCAGGACATCGGGGTCGTGGAGTTGAGGGTAGAGGAGGAAAGGTAGAGTTGGGTGTCATCCGCACACATGTGGAAGTTAACCCCATGTCTGCGGATGATGTCACCACAGGGGGAACATATAGAGGGTGAAGAGGAGGGGACCGAGGACAGAGACTTGAGGGACACCGCACGAGACATAGTGAAGACGGTGGGAGAGGTACGACCTAAACCACTCAAGGACAGGGCCTTGAAGGTTGAGGTGGAGGACAAGTGGTGGAGGAGGATATCGTGGTCGACCGTATCGAATGCTGCCGATAGGTCGAGGAGGACGAGGAGGCAGAGGGAGCCCTGGTCACAGATGGTCAGGATGTCATTGGTGACCTTGACCAGGGCAGTTTCTGTGCTATGGGCAGCACGGAAACCCGACTGAAGGGGTTCGAATAATGAATGGGTGGAGAGGAAAGAGCGCAGCTGGGAGGCCACAACTCGTTCCAGGACCTTGGACAGGAAGGGGAGGTTGGAGATGGGCCGGAGATTGATAGCTGCGACGCATCAAGGGAGGGTTTTTTCAAGGTGGGAGTGATGGTGGCAGTTTTTAGGGGAATGGGAACAGAGCCACAGGAGAGGGACAGGTTGACGATGTCTGTGATATGTGGGGCAAGGAGGTGGAGCTGGGAGATAAGGAGTGGAGTGGGGATGGGGTCAAGGGAGCAGGTGGTGGGTTTCAGGGAGAGGATGAGTTTGGTGACAGAGGGTGGGGAAACGGGTACGAAGGTGTGTAGGGGAGGATGGGTAGGAGTCGGAGTGTGGGAGGGAGGGGGTGGGGGGTGGGTGGATGTTGGAGGGGAAGTGACCGCGGAGCGGATTCCCTTGATTTTGGATTCAAGGAAATCCAGCATCTCCTCACAGTGAAGGTTGGAGGAGATGACCTGCGCGGGGTGGCGGGGGGACGGAGGAGTCGGGATGTGGTAGAAAACAGAAGCCTGGGGTTGTTCTTCGCCTCCAGGATTATCCTGGAGTAGAAGGACGATTTGGCCGAGGCTAGAGTGGAGCGGTAGGAGACGGCCTTGTCGGTGATAGTGACATCCGAGACACTGAGGCCCCGGGTGATCACCAAGTCGAGTGGGTGGCCGTGACTGTGAGTGGGGGAGTTGATGTGGAGGGAGAGGTTGAGCGAGGAGAGCAGGGAAGAGAAGTCTGAGGAGATGGAGCAGGAGGGGGTGAAGTGTAGGTTAAAGTCGCCCAGGATGGTGAGGCGATCAGAGCAGAGGCAAAGAGATGTGAGGAGTGTTGAGATATCGGAGATGAAGGTGGGAGAGGTTTTAGGGGCCGGTAGAGGAGGAGGATTTTGAGTGAGAGGAAGGAGGGGTGGGAGAGGGTGAGGTGCTCAAAAGAGGGGAAAGAGCCAGAGGAGTAGGGGGATAGGGCAAGTGGTGTCCTTGAGATACACACACACACACACACACAACTCACTGAAACACACACACAGCTCACTGTATACAAACACACACAGCTCACTGTACACACACACATATAGCTCACTGTATATACACAGCGTTGACTGTATACACACATAGCTCACTGTACACACACACAGCTCACTGTATACACACACACACAGCTCACTGTACACACACACATATAGCTCACTGTATATACACACGTTGACTGTATACACACATAGCTCACTGTACACACACACAGCTCACTGTATACACACACACACAGCTCACTGTACACACACACAGCTGACTGTACACACATACACTGGTGACTGTACATACACACTGGTGACTGTACATACACACACCTGACTGTACATACACACACACAGTTCACTGTACCCACACGCACACACAGTTCACTGTACACACACACAGCTCACTGTGTGCACAAACACTCACTGTACACACACACACACACACAGCTCACTGTATACACACTCACGCATCTCACTGTACACACACAGCTCACTGTATACACACACACAGCCCACTATATACAAACACACACAGCTCACTGTACACACACACATACAGCTCACTGTATATACACAGTGCTGACTGTATATACACAGAGCTCACTGTATACACACACAGCTCGTGGTATACACACACAGCTAACTGTACACACCCACAAACAGCTGACTGTACACACACAGCTGACTGTACACACACACACAGCCGACTGTACACACACACACAGCTGATTGTACACACACACAGCTGACTGTACACACACACAGCTGACTGTACACACATACAAAAGCCGACTGTACACACACACAGCCGACTGTACACACACACACAGCTGATTGTACACACACACACACAGCTGACTGTACACACACACAGCTGACTGTACACACACAGCTGACTGTACATACACAGCTGACTGTACACACACACACACACAGCTGACTGTACCCACACACACACAGCTGACTGTACCCACACACACACAGCTGACTGTACCCACACACACACAGCTGACTGTACACACACACACACAGCTGACTGTGCACACACACAGCTGACTGTACCCACACACAGCTGACTGTACCCACACACACAGCTGACTGTACCCACACACACAGCTGACTGTACCCACACACACAGCTGACTGTACCCACACACACACAGCTGACTGTACACACACACACACAGCTGACTGTACCCACACACACAGCTGACTGTACCCACACACACAGCTGACTGTGCACACACACAGCTGACTGTGCACACACACAGCTGACTGTACCCACACACACACAGCTGACTGTGCACACACACAGCTCCCTAACCCTGCTTACACAGGAGCGAGTGCAGGAGGGTGGGGCGGCACTGACCTGGGGGCCCCGGGCTGGAGGCCCAGCAGTTCCCAGCTGTCTTTGCTGCTGC